CGCCACATCCACCTCCATGGCGGCGCAGCTGGTGCTCCCGTCTCCCCGTCGCCGCCGCCGTGAGGGGAGGGAGGGCCGCGTTGCGGGCCCGCCTTTGGCGGGGCGGAGGCAGCCGGGGGTTGCGCTCTGCAGCCGGGCACCGGTTCCTGTGGATGATCCGTGAGGCGGGGAGGCGGCGGGCCAGGCCCAGGCTGGGCTGGGCTGTGCCGGGGAAGAACTGTTCGGTGAGGGTAGGCCGCTCGCAGCTCGGCTCGTTGGCCTTGGACTCATCTGTTTCGATTCGGTGGGATTCCTACCATTCTGTGTGTTAAGATAATAGCAACAATCACGCGTTAAATAAACCACTTTGTTATTTTTTAAAACTTCTTTTATCTACCTCTATTCCCTCCCCCCCATAAAATGAAAACAATAGAAGATGCATTGCAAAATACTGTAAGCAGTTTCGTTATAGACGGGAGGGATGATTCTGGCTCTATTTATTGAACACATATAATATATACAGGTTCTCCCGGGAGGCTCTGGCTGCGCTGTTCCTGGACTGGAAGTGTTCAAGGGCAGGTCGGATGGGATTGGAGCACTCTTGACTACAGGAAAGTGTCCCCATGGCAGGGGGTGGCATGAAAAAGCTTTTAAGATTCTTTCCAACTCAAACCATTCTGAGATTCTATGATTCTAAATGGTTTTTTTTCCAGGTTAAATAAAGGTTGCTCTTCCACCTAAGTCAAGACTCTCTCTTTTTTTTTTTTTTTTTCATTTTGAAAATCAGTACTCATTTTCAGCCTCAGTAGTTACTGGGGCCTTAGTACATCTTTCAGCTCTGTTTATGCTCCACATAATTAATGACATTTGTGTTAGCTCAGTGCACTGAGCATCTGTCCTTCAGTCTGAGCCCTGTTTCCTTGGGAAGTGTTTCTAATTTAAGATTGGTGTGAGGCAGGAACTCAGAATTGACCATATTTGCAGCTCAGTGTGAGCAGTGACGCTCCTGAGGGAGAAACTTCCTCTTACTCATCACAACATTTGTATTCCAGTGTTACTGTCAGTGCCTGTTATTGGTATTTTGAGGCTGACATATCAGCATTTGCCTTCAGCCTGTAAAACTGGTTCTGCCTATGGCCTGACAGTGATGTTATTAATATATCATCAATATAATATTAATATATTGATAACAGCTGTAGTGGCTCCTAATGGTTGTAGGATAACTGTTATGTTAGGGTAAAATTGGAAGTGTTCTGTACCTTTCACTTGCCTGTCAGAATGAACATCAACAGTGCATTAACCACCTCTGTTGGAGGTAAAGATAATTATAAAATTATAAAAAGACAATTATAAAAACAATTATATGGCATATGAGGATGAGAGTTGGCTTTTTTTTTTTTTTTTTGGTGTTCAGACTGTTCCTGTAATGCTCAATCTCACTCTTTTACTCTTGTTTTTAGATTTAATTTTCTGCAGTGCTCATCAGAACCCAACAAGAGACAGTGAAATACTGTTGGTCATAGCAGCCTGTCAGCGCAGCACCCTGGATATGCTTTGATTTCCTGCCAAATTAAACAATAGTTCTGCTCTTAGGAAGTACCAGCTTCTAGATAAGATATTTTCCTGGCTAGCATTAATTCTACCACTCTATGTGTAGAATTCCTGGTGATAAGCACTCAAAGGACAATAAGAAAGGCAAATGATATGAATTGTTGCAGAGAGCCTGATGACAGATTTTGTGATATGTTTCTGCTAACAGTTGAAATGAAGTGGTTTTGAGCATAGTCTCCTACAGAGCTGCAGCCCCAGCATAGGCAGGAGCTTCTCACAGTGGTTTATCAAACACAAAACAAATATTTGTTGAAGGCACAGTGTTGATAGGGATATGTGGCAGGTGAACAGGCAAATGTGAGCTTAGTTTTAAAACTCATAATGTCCCAAAATCCAAATCGTTCTTATTGTAGCCCAACAGTTGAGATCACAGGATACATCCAGAGTTAAATGAATTCCAAATTCAATGCTGAAATAGCAGAACTTTTGATGTGCCATCAGCAATGCCTAAACACACGTGTATGCAGATGTACTGTGTTATCCTGAGAGGAGAATACTCCTGAATTTAAGATTATTCTTTCAGACCTTTCTCCCTCACACCCCAAAAGATGTACAGAAAAGCTTACTAAGTACTTGTAATCAGTAGAGAGCACAGAGAAAGGCTTTTTGCTAGTGGTTTATTCAGCAATGGGAGTGATCCTCTTCAGTGTTCAAGGTTGTTTTGCTATTGGGTTAAATCTGTGAGTTCAGCTTACTGTTACTGTTTGGGCTAACACTCATGCATGTTGTCTTGCAGCTCTAGAAGGTCAAAACCTTAAATTGCAGTATTAAGAGAAGTGCAGAGCTCCTTGGGCTGTCCATCACTGCCTCCACTGCTGCTGTTAAAGCTTCAGCTCTTTCCCAGCCACAGGTAGGTGACAGAGCACAGAGGACCTCACTGCCAGGGACGTGTGGAGTCTGCAGTGCCCTCTCTGCACTCTCTCCCTTTCACACAGCTAGGCTGGAGAGAGTGGAATCAATTCTCAGGCTACCAACCGTTCTATCTTGTGGTCACTGGGGCTGAAAGCAGAGAGCAGAGCCAGAACAAATAGTGGGAGTGAAAGCAATGATGGGGCTGTTAGAAGGGAGGCTGGGCTGGAGCTTCATGAAATAGGGCATCATTGTATGAGGAGGTTTCCTGGGCCTGACATGTCTGAACCCAAGACTGACAGGGGCCCTGATTCCTGCAGAGCTGCTGTGCTTGAGCTCTAGAGCAAAATGGGATAATGCTGTCAGTACATGCAGGTATCAACTTAGCATTCTGTCCATTCTTTGTGTGTTTATCCATGCAATGGCCCTGGGGTTACAGTTGTGCTGAGCTCATTTTATGGGTACCCTTTAAAATTTCTTGCTAAGTGTTATGGCAAAAGTCCCACATTTTCTCTTCACCAGCACACAGCCATGTTCCTGTTCATTTCCCCACCCACTGCCTCATCCTTACTCTTGTGCATCTCCAAGAACTGCAGAGCAACAGCAGCTCACCAGCACACTTTGGGTAAATACATGACACCTGCCCACTGTTACCTGAGCACTTTCATTTGCAGCATCTCATTGTTTTTTACATTTTCATTAAGTATCTTTAAAGCTTTTTTTTTTCATGCTGCCACACAGAATTTTAAGCAGCATGTCACCAACATCTGCAGTTAGAAAATTCATAGTGCTGGGAAGTGAGACAAGGCCCAGGTCATGGTGACAGAGCAGCTGGAAAGATCAAGTTCAGCCTCTTGCTACTGGCAGACTCTAAAGTTGCATATATTTACAATTCTTTTCTATAAGCATCTGAAAATATTTAAAAGAATGGGTTTTAAGTGCCGTTTTAAGCCAGAGAAGTTTTATTAATGATTTTTGTGCATGTGTTGAGGCATTTACATTAGGTTACAAGAAAAGGATGCAGCAGCAGTGACTAGCCAGTCCTACTCTCCTTCCCTTTGGATGCTTAAGACTGAAAATGTGACTGAAATTTCCTTTCTTTTTCTTCTTTTAGCACATAATAGAGAGCAACGAGTGTCCAGCCCAAGTCCAGCTGCATGGTTACAGCTTTAGTCAGTAGAGGGAGTATGGACACCTGGGTTAAAGCTGCACAGGTCACCCATGACATCCAAGAGATTTCAGATTTCAGCTGAATGAACAGATATGTTCACAGATATTATTTCGTCTCTCTTTGACTCATTTACTTCATCTGTAAAGAGGGGCTTCATCTTCACACAAAAGACTGACTATAATCTACTGTCTGAACATCCACTTGCCTTTGGGCTCATGGGCAGGAAACAGGCTTTGTGTTTGTGAAAATGGCATATTTCTTCCATCATGCAACGTGATCCATCTTATTGTTTTGTATTTGTGTGGCGTGCTGTCCCACATTCCTTGGAATCATTGCTACTGCAGCAAGGTAGTTTACTTGAAAATGTAGAACAACAGGAACTAGACTGTGCTAATGATTAAATTATACTGATGGTTGGAGTTTAAGTAACAGCTAATGCACTAATTTCAGTATAGGAAATATACTAAAAAAAGCAACAAGAGCTCCTCTTGATCTTCATAATTAATGAGAACTGCCATGATCCTTCAACATATTTCTACCCACACTTCCTTTTATGTTAAGAAATATACAGGAACTCAGAGAAGTCAGCTGGTAGAAAGCCTTTCACAAAGCACTTTCCAGCACACTGCACAAGCCACGTGTGCTCCCCTAAAGTCTCCTGGAGCCAGATCTTGTCCATGTTGAATCCTGGCCAACAGTCTCATTTCTTCCAGTGAAACAGAACAAAGTGAGGCCTTCAGACAAGAGTGTACCCAACACACACATCTGAGCTATGTGTACCCAAATAAGCACCATCAGCTGTGCTGAGCGTTTCTGGAAGGGAAATGAGTGGGATTCTCATCATTTAACTTTAAATATCTCATTTGGCTAGTTCTTAAATATCTCTTTAATTTATGGAGGGAAGGGAGCATTGTTGGAGAGCAATTAATCCATTTTAGGTGTCTGCAGTAGGATGAGGGGAATTCTACCCCAGTGCCTGTTCCTCTGCACTCATTATAGAGAAAGCCTAGACAGTTGGCTTGGATATAAATGTCAGAAGATGAGAGGTTTCTCTCACCTATCTAAATACAACAGAATCTGCTAGATATTAGAGGCTCTGTGGTGGCTCTGGGTCAGATAACAAATGCCTGAAAACATGTCTGCACTTGGCTGAATCATTGCAACCATGCAAGATCTTAATTTTAATTTAAAGACTGTTTATAAGAAGTTTCTGAACTTTAGTCTTGGCCTAGAATGAGTAAGGCCTAAAGCAGCCACTGATCCTCAAGATATGGTCTTTCAGCAGCTCTGTAATCAAAGGAAAAAAAACAGCTTTTCTTTAGATCACTGCTTTAATCTTGTTCCTCCCACCAATGCTGGAATTTTGCTTTCTGCCCCCAGATGCAGAAGGCTCTTTATAGTGTCAGCCTGAGTGAACAGTAAGAGCTCACGCTGTCATTGCGGCTGCACCTTTGAGGCAGTGGAAATCTCACATTACTGAAAGCTGACACTAATGAAGCTGTGCAATATTTTCAAATATAACTCCTGCCACCACTCAGTTCCCACAGTACGTAGGCAGGGATTTCTAGGCCTGTGGTAGGGAAAAGAAAGAAGGGATTCAATTCTGAAGCCCTTGTTGGCATTTGGGGTCTTGCCCCTTCACCTGGCCTTTATGTGAACTGTCATCTTTAAAAGGTTGCTGCCTTTGGGGACCAAGTGAGGGACTGGGACATTAGGGTGGGTAACTTACTGGTATGTGAGAAGTTGAGTGTCTCAGCTCTTTGCAGAGAGCTCCTGATGCTGAATAAAATGGAATGGTACTTAAACATTTTGTCTGTCTTTATTTAAATACTATAGATAACAGCAAAACACAAAATGATTCTCTTTTTCTTTCCCTAGATGCAGGCATGAGTATTCCCTTGGTTTTTACATTACATTGTCTGTGTAATGCTTCTGTCAGAATAATTTAAAATAAAACAGCAGTGGAGATTTTTAGAGATCCCAACAGGTAATGCAAATACTTGTCAAATCACAGTAATGGATCAGTCAGGGGGAGACAGTTTTGCCTGTCTGTGAGAAGCCACTTTTCAAAACAAGATCTATATAATCTCACAGAAAACAAGAGGGTAGTAGAGAGTACTATCAGGTAAATGTGATAGCCCAGAGATGTCAGAGATCACATACCAGCTCTCCACACATAATGGTTTAATTAAAGTCATTATTCTGCTCACCTGTGTAAAATTAACAAGTCCTCACATCTTTATAGGCCGAAACTTTAGTGTCTCCTGTGTTCTCCTATGTCTGGGATATCAGTGTAGGGTTCTCTGCCTGCACACAAGCCCCTGGGAATAAATAAATGGTTTTTGGGAGTAGTAGCATCTGTGGGATGATGGCATTTCAACATTTATAGTCATCCTGAAGCTTTGTGACAAGTAGGTACAACAAAAGCTGAGGCATAGCTTTGTAGGAGAGCACTTGCTAGAAGACACAAATTGAAGTCTACAGGCACTTCAACCACCTCACTGCCAGACCCCTGTCCCTGGATGAGCTTTCTTGCTCTCCCTGGAAATTCCCCTGAGAAAGTTTAATCAGAGAGGCAGATTTGTCAAAAGGATTTAAAGAAATAACTATAAGAGCTGTGAACTTTTGTCTACCTTCATCATATTGAAGCCAGTGGGCTTTATTCTCCTCCCAGACCTGCTGTGTGTACCACAGATTATTGGCAGGCAAAATATAATGCCAGACCTGCTGACCTTCTTTGTGATCATGTAGACACAGGGCTGTAATTTAAACATTTATGTGGAAGTTATTTGTACTAAGAACAAATTAGTGTATATAAGATTAAGCATAAAATTGTACAATTGATCAAAAATGAAATTTAACTTCTAAGCAATTCCTGATTTGAAATCCTACCCTGAAGCACCTAAAAATATTAAAGAGGATTTTTTTTTTTCAGAACAGCTTGAAATTTACACTCCTCCTTACCAAATGCATGTCTGCATGTAATGCTTCTTGTTAGTCTCACAAAGAGAGGTCTCCATTATTGCTCTACCCCCATTTGGATAAGGAAAGAGACTTGGACCAAAGGATTGGGACTGACTGAGATGGCAAATCACGGGTGGAGGTGGATGGAGAAGCGAGAAGTTGTGTTGGAGTCCAAACCTGATTCAATAGGCACCTTCTTCTCATCTAGCTCTTCTCCTGGTGCCATACTGTCTCCCTAGGCAACTACAGATTAGAGAGGAGACAAAATTTCTTGTATACTCAGAACTGCAAAGCAATGACTTGAACTTGGATGCAGGAAAATGTCAGGGAAATACAGTGAACTAGCAGTTGAAGCAGAGGCGTTGAAGTCAGGTGCTTCAGGTTCTATTTTTGGTTTGGACCAGCCATTTCACTTCTGCCTTTGGCTTCCCCTTTGCAAGATGAAAAATGAGGATGCCTACAGCTGCCTCCTGGATCATCTTGCTGAAGGACTGTCAAATCTCATATTCTGGATGATGCTCCATTAACCTCAGCTCTATTCTTCTCTGCTTTGGTGCCTGCACCTCCTTCATTTCTATCTCCCCTCTGCTTTTTTGGTCCCCTGCAGGCAAAACAGAGCAGCATCACAGCAGCAAATCTGGGGATTGCTGCTGGGTGGGAGCCTCCTCTGTTTCTTTGTACCCTGGGGCCTTCAGCATAGCATCTGATGTGCAAATTATCCTGGGCTACCCCTTGATGTGGGGTAGTAAAGTACACTGAGTTATAGCTCCTGTGCAAAGCACTCCCACTCCTGTCTAAATTCGGGATGCAGTTTCAGGGCACAGGCACTAGACAGGTGCTAGAACATGTACAGAGAAGGGCAGCAGAGCTGGAAAGGGTCTAGAGCACAAATCTGATGAGGAGTGGCTGAGGGAGCTGGGGAAAAGGAGGTTCAGGAGGGACCTTCTCACATCCCACAACTCCTTGACAGGAGTGTGCAGCCAGGTGGAGGTCAGGCCCTGCTCCCAGGGAATAAGGGACAGGAAAAGAGAAAACAGCCTCAAGTAGCACCAGGGGAGGTTTGGATTTGATATCGTGGAAAATTTCCTCATCAAAAGGGCAGTGGTGGAGTCACAATCTCTGGAGGGATTTAACAGAAGTGTGGAATTAACACCATGAGTTAGTGGTGGCCTTGTCAGTGCTGGGGGAATGGTTGTACTCGAAGAGCTCAAAGGGGTTTTCCAACCTAAATGATTTTATGTCCCTGCTCCTTTGTATGTCCGTGCAATGTCACCCCAGGCATGGCTCTGGCAGGGAACAGCAGGAAGCGATAAAGGACAAGTGATGATCACCACCTCAGCCCGGCCACCATCGCTTGGAGTTGTCAAGTTCTCTTTGCTGCGTTCCCTGTTAAATCCCGGCTATTCAGGGGTCTCTTCTTTTTTACAGGAAGCACCGCCAGCTTTCCTGCCCTTCCTTCCCTTCTTGTATCAATCAAAATCTCTACTACCTAAATTCAGGTGTGCCTAGAGAGCTCCTCCTTCCCAATGCCGCGGAGAGGGAGGCGGCGGCTCCAGCGAGAGAAAGGTGATCCATCTCCCCTTTATTTCGGGTTTTAGGGCAGGAGCGCTCGGGGCTGCCAGGAGGAAGCTCCGCGCTGCCTTTCCACCCTCCCACCCGACTTCGGGAGGCGCCAGGGCCCGGCAACCAGCAGGATTTCGGCCCGGCCCCTTTGTTCGCGTGGGCCCGGCCGTGAGCCGGGAGGGACGGAGGGAGCGGCGGTGGCNGCTCGGGGGGTGCGGGCAGGGTGCGGGCAGGGTGCGGGCAGGGTGCGGGCAGGGTGCGGGGTGCGCTCCCCGCCGCTCCTGGGTCACGGAGAACGCGCGCTGGCAGCGGCCCGATGCCATGGAGACGGAGGTGGGTGTCAGCATCCATGTCTCGGTGCCGAGCGAGTTTTGGGGTTTGAAATGGGGAGGAAAATTGCCTTTTGTCTTTGGGAAGCTTGGCTGCTTGCTGGGCTCAGTGTCCTCGCTCGGTTTTTCTCGTTTAACGATCCAGATCTGGACATTAACCGCATCCTGCAGGATCTGATGGGGGTTTTTTGTCTGTTGCAAGATGTGCTTCTGGGGAAGGCCCAGGCTGAGCTGCTGGCATTGGCGTAGCGCTCAGGTTATGAGCAGCCAGGCAGCAGATGCAGGAGGGCTCTGCCCTTGCATCTCCTGACACGAGACAGCAAAGGGTGTTTGGGGCAGCATCCAGGGCATGAGGATGAGTTGTTATCTCCACAGGATCCAGGCAGGCTGCAGCGGCGTTTTGGAAGCGCTGGGAGACAAAGCACTGTGTCAGCACCGAGTGTTATTTGCTGCTCTGTTGAGCATCACTCTCACAGGCCTACAGACCTTGTCTCAGAAACTCATCCTGCTGGAAAAGATGTCAAGTTTTACCACTCCATCCATTACTGCTGGCTGGAAGTGTTTCCTTGAGGCTGACTTGCAGCTCAGGAACTGGTCTGCATGTGGACAGAGATATATTTGGGGTGCCTGGCTAAGCGTGTTGGCCTTAGCCTCTGCCCAGCTGCCTGCTGCCAGCATTCCCCTCCCCAGCAATGCTCCAAGAGAGCCCCATTCATCAGCACAGCTCTGTCATTGCTGGTGTGCTGATGCTTTTGAACACAGTGCAGCTCCCGATCTTAAAGTTGCGTCTGAGATACAGGATTTTAAGAAATTACCTGCCAGGGATTAGGAAGGAGGGAGTCTGCATCAAACAGCTGTGTTCTCACAAAAGTTGTCACTGCCTACCACAAATCTCTGGGAGTACAGCACTTCAAAGGCTCAGCTCTGAGACATGGCACAAGTGACAACATTAGCACCAGCCACTGCAGCAGAGCAGGGAGGAGGTGTGCAGGAGCCTCTCTGTCATCTCAGGAGCACTTGTGTGGGGCTGCCTTCCATGAAGGGAAAGCTCATGTGTTTTTTCAGGAGATGCTCTCAGGTTCAGTATGGATGGGATTATCTACTGATAAACCAAGGATTGGTGTCTGCTCCTCTGTCCTTGCAGGCTGCCATAATCTACTCTAGCAAGGAGCAGCTCCTGGTGTGTTTTCTCTTTATCCCTTGTGCTTTTTGGTTTGGCAGAAGAAGTGATGGAGAACCCAGAGGGGTTCTGGTACAAGGGATGTGGCTCTGTAAGGGCATCCAGGCTGATTCTTCTGTTGTGTTACTGGGTGGTTAAAATGTACCAAGGCATGTGTTCCATCTCCTGACTGAGGTTGTTGGTTTTGTTTATTAAAATGCTACCTTTGTCCATGAAACCTGGGGAAATTAACTTTTTTTTTTAAATTCTGGTGAGGACAAGAGAAAATATTTAAAACAAGTTCCATACCCCAGGTACATGGTGTTGGTAGCACTTTGCAGAGAGTACACAATGCATGGCAAGGTTAGATACTTTTAAAGCTCTGGGAAAGCCCAGGAATGGGTAGACCTGAATGTGACTTGTTGCTAGCCTGTGTTAAACACTGGTGTGCACTTATCTATAGAGATATCTGTGGATATTTATAGAGAGATCTATCTTTTCATGGATGCCTTTTGTTAAATACCTTGTGACTCTTTTCCTCTCCATCTCCCAAGGTCTCAAGAATGACCAAGGAAGTTGCTGACATGGGTTGAGAGCACTATTTTTTCCTCTAGTTCTGACTTGAAATGCCCCCAATAATCAGTCTCTGGCTGTTGTTCTTTTATCACTGTTCTTATGGTGTTTATGGTAGAATTTCAGGTCTTGTTAGCCAGGCTTGGATAGTACTGGTGATGTCAGTCTCCAGCATGACTTGGGCTTTGTTTTACTGGTCAGTTTTTTAAAACAACCA